CGCCCTAACCACCTGGCCATGCCGGGCCTCTACAAACGGACCTGGCTGGTTGATAAATCCAGCTTTTAGATCTGCCGATTTGAAAGAACTTTGATTCATAAGTAAATAGACAAATTTCATTTAATACTTTTATGAATTTATGTGTAATATTTTAGTCACAATTAACAAATATATGAAACGTACTCGAGTCATTACTTTATTTCTAGCTTTTAAACACACGAAGCTATGTGTGGTGAGAAAAACGAAGATTCTAAAAAAGTTGTAAAATTCTTACATTGTGAAAGTATATTCACTGTTATAGGTTGATATAAAACCTTCAAGTAGCCGTTAACCCAGAAATGTTCATATTGCAGTTCTTTTTAAAAATAATATTTACATTATATTAAATAAACTTGAGTCATCCCATCGATATTAAATATCCACTTTGAACAAAGGTTTGCAGTGAGTATTGGGAAATAAGTATTTTGTATTACATTAATATATATATATATATATAGGTACAATATTTCATTCGCTAGTGTTATTTTGTCAACTATATGATGAAATAAAATAGTATTTAAGTACTCCCGTTTGTTATTAGTTTTCAAGTAATCTGTTGAAAACAAATTTATATCTTAAGCTTGTAATGTTGCTCTTTACTTAACTTACCAGAGTTTGCAGTACAAAGAAGCAGAAGTATCCCTGTTATGAGGAATAAGTTACAGAAAGAAACAGAAGTCTTCCTATCATGGTGAATAAGTTACCAGAGTTTGTAGAGCAAAGCAATAGGAGGGAGGACATGGCTTTCTTATAGGACAAAGAAGAAGAATACGACTACCTCTCAAAAAGAGGAAAGATAAGACTTGCCCCAAACAGGGCGAGGAGAAATAAAGCGACTTTCCCTAGGTTAACTAAGGAAAACATTTTTCCGTTGTTAGATGAAGAGGAAGAAGGCAGCTTAACTGTAGGAACAACAGAGAAAATGCTGTTTCTCTCGGGTGAGGAAAGAGATGATTGGTCTCTCGTAATGTTAAATAGAAGAAGATATTGTAGGACAGAAAGAAGATGACTAATCTTTCTTAGGGCCAGGTGAATGGAGGTTAATTTCTTACAGAGTGAAGAGGAAGATGATTGATTTCTCACATAAGGGGAAGAGGAAGGATATAATACTTTGCTCTGGAACAAATGGAAAAAACGACTCGTTGTATAACGGCTGAAGAGAAGAAGTCGTTAGAGAAAGACGTGTCCTTGTTACAGCAAAGAAATACAACTCGTTTCTTTTTGAGCTTATATTTTAATTTCTGATTAGTGTTTTCTTTTTTCAGCCTATAGTATAGAAAGAAAATAATCACGAAATGTAAAAAAAAAACAAAAAAACTAAATAATACTGACTACAAGATGAGAAAAGCTCAGATTTTAGGAATTTGCATTTTTATCTTTAATTGAATTTTTGAACCTACTTGCTTTCCTAAAATCATGGACAACAAATATGTATCTGTCAAATCAAAAGGCTGACTACGTAATTAAGGATTTTTGTTTTTATAAAAGGCTTAGTTACAAACAGCATACGAACATGAAATTGGAAATAATATTATCGTTAAAAAAGAACTACAGTATATTCATGAAGTCGTTATTCTTTATCACTTAATTCTAAAAGGTTTGATGTTATCATAATTAGAATAGATGTGGTATATATATTAGAGATATCTTTTCTATTTACTAAAGGTAAAATTGAAAATATAATCTGTCACTTAGAAGCCTAATGCATTCTTTGATTTGTCACACCCTCTACTGTAGACTGTAGTTTAATCTTAACAAGGATCATCAATGCACCTTGTGTCAGTAAACTAAAGAAATATAATTAGGCCCCTTAGAATAGAGATGTGGATGAAATATTTATGGGGTTTTTGACATTAAATTCCATTCTTTTATCAAACAAGGGTAGGCCATAAGTTTTTCTAAGTGAAAATTGTTGAAAAGTTCTGTCTTCCATTTAGTGTATCAGTTCAATAGTTTTTAAAAGTGTATACTGTTGACTAGCTGTCTTCCCTTTAGTTTGTCAGCTAAAGAGTTTTTAGAAGTGAATACCGTTGACTAACTGTCTTCTCTCTAGTTTATAAGCTCAGGAGTTTTCGGAAGTGAGTACTGATGACTAGCTGTCTTCCCTTTAGTTCATCAGCTCAATAGTTTTTAGAAGTGTATACTGTTGACTAGTTGTCTTCCCTTTAGTTTGTCAGCTCAAGAGTTTTAGAAGTGAATACCGTAGACTAGCTGTCTTCTCTCTAGTTTATAAGCTCAGGAGTTTTCGGAAGTGAGTACTGATGACTAGCGGTCTTCCCTTTAGTTCATCAGCTCAATAGTTTTTAAAAGTGTATAATGTTGACTAGCTGTGTTCCCTTTAGTTTGTCACCTAAAGAGTTTTTAGTTAAAGGGTTTCATTGGAGTTTATAAGGTGTGCCTCCGACTATTTATATAACATCCAAAATAACGACACCGTAGTGCATGACTGACACTATGTTTTAATGCACCATAAATATGTCTAAATACTCGAGAATTCTCTGAACTGTATTCCTTATGTTTTCTTATCTATGTAAATGCTCGATTAGTGAAATAGCGATAGCGTGGTGGTATTTTTGAAAAATATGCCTAAATGTTCGTTAATTCTACGTATTCCTCATCTCTTATCGGCATAGATACAAAATCACTGATCTCACCATGAAAGAAAGCATACATGTTCGGTAACCTTGACGCTATTATTGACAAGAAGATGACGGTAACCTTGACGATAGTGTGTACAAGATGACGGTGACCTTGATGATAGCATTACTAGATCTACAGCACGTGGACAAAGCATAAAATTTCGATATTTTAAAACTGTAGAGGTTTGTTAGCAGTACCGAGTTACTTCAAAAAAAAAAAAACTTGTATGAAATGAACAAATAATATCCACCTCTGTTAGATCTTTTTAATTAACAAAAAGTGGAGAAATCGCTGAGACAGCTCATGAAATTACAGAGTGCACATAAGATGGTCAAGTATGAGGAAAAAGAAAACTTGCTTCACGTGTGTATACAATGCAGTTAATTATAAGAACTTCAAATAGTGTTACGTAAGAAAAATGATTAGAATAAGACAACTTTCAACATTTTTTCTGGAACTTTTGGCTGGTACTAGAAAGTTAGAATAATGTTGAGTGAAAATTATATCCTATATTACGCATCACGACTGATTCCGAAAAAAACACGTTGACTTCAACTACTAGTGGACCAATTTTAATTTAATTTAAGATGACAGTAGAAATGTAAACAAAGCTTAACTTAAAAAATACTAACTATAGATCTAAGGTGGACCAAGATAACAGTATAAATGTAGTTAACTTGAACAAATACTAACTATAGATCTAAGGTGGACCAAGATAACAGTATAAATGTAGTTAACTTGAACAAATACTAACTATAGGTCTAGGGTGGACCAAGATAACAGTACAAATGTAGTTAACTTGACCAAATACTAACTATAGATCTAAGGTGGACCAAGACGACAGTACAAATATAATTAACTTGAACAAAACCTAACTATAGATCTAAGGTGGACCAAGATAACAGTACAAATGTAAACAACGTTTAACGTAAAGAAATACTAACTATAGATCTAAGGTGGACCAAGACAACAGTACAAATGTAGTTAACATGACCAAATACTAATTATAGGTCTAAGGTGGACCAAGATAACAGTACAAATGTAGTTAACTTGTCCAAATACTAACTATAGATCTAAGGTGGACCAAGATAACAGTACAAATATAATTAACTTGACCAAATACTAACTATAGGTCTAAGATGGACCAAGACGACAGTACAGATATAATTAACTTTAACAAAACCTAACTATAAATCTAAGATGGACCAAGATAACAGTACAAATGTAAACAACGTTTAACGTAAAGAAATACTAACTATAGATCTAAGGTGGACCAAGATAACAGTACAGATTATAACTTGACCAAATACTAACTATAGATCTGAGGTGGACCAAGACGACAGTACAAATGTAGTTAACTTGACCAAATACTAACTATAGATCTGAGGTGGACCAAGACGACAGTACAAATGTAGTTAACTTGACCAAATACTAACTATAGATCTGAGGTGGACCAAGACGACAGTACAAATGTAGTTAACTTGACCAAATACTAACTATAGATCTGAGGTGGACCAAGACAACAGTACAAATAAAATTAACTTGAATAAATACTAACTATAAATCTAAGGTGTACCACGATAACAGTACGGATTCTATCTTGAATAAACACAAACTACAAAATTACCTTGAGGTTTAATGAATATAGCCCATTTATAATACTTACGTTCTTACACATACTGAGTAGAATGCATTGTTTCATCAGTAAGGTAGTCACGATAATTCAAATTAATCAATCATACATTGAACTTGTAGCTAGATCTAGTTTGATTATTATCTGGAGGTTATAAATGGTTTGCATGTGAAATTTGACAATTTTTCTGGTGCATAAAAGTATTTTTAATTTGAAAATCAAAATTACTTTGCATATTGGATAGTCAACATTCGAAAAGAAAAATACACGAGGAAATCATTATTTAAGAAATCTTAAAACTTAATAGAATATCTGATATTTTGTGTATGAAAGATACGCTTACTGTATTAAAAGTTGTAGTATGACAATTGTAAGAAGCACAAAATATTTACGAGGTTGGCCCCTGGGACCAAGCCCGATGTTATAGGTTAATAGGTTTCATGATGCTAGAAAAACGCTTAGGATCAAGAAGTCTTGATAGAAATGAATAAAAACCCTATAACCCGAGCATTTTCGAAAGGTCCACTTTTCGAAAGCGCTCGGGCTATAGGGTTTCAATACTCACAGTACATATAAATCTTCTGCAGCTTTGTGCTTAATAACAAACAAACATAAGTTACTTTTTAATCTCAACTTATTTATATATGTTTGAAGAGTGTTTAGTTTAATTTCTCAAAAACATAAGTGTTTAAAGTGTTTGTTTGTAGTTAAACACAAAACTACACAATACGCTATCTATTTCTAGTGTAAGTTCGCAGAAATATCGCTGTGCCAATGGGGAGGGGGCTCTTTAGATAGAATGATGCCTAAAATTCACCTTTTATGAATTTATCAAGAATATTTCTGATTACTTTGCATTTTCCAAATAATTTTTGCATGCCTAGAAATATTCCTAATCACTTTTAATTTGTTAAGGAATATTTTTCATCAAGAAACGTTTCTGACTACTTTTTGTTTGCCTAAGAATATTTCTGATTATATTTTTGTTTGCCTAGAAATATCTCTGATCATTTTTAATTTGCCTAAGGTTCCCTAGTGGGTCAGTGGTAAGTGTACAGACTTACAGTGCTAAAATTCTCAGTTCAGTTCCCTGTTGTGAACAGAGTGCAAAAAGCACATTGTGTAACTTTGTGCTAAAACAAACAAATAAACATAACTGCTTGGGAATACTTCCAATCTCCTTTTATTTGTATAGGAATATTTTCAGTCACCTAAGCATATTCCAAACTTTTTGCTTAAGCAAATAAATTGTTCAAAGACTAGCATACATTGTAACAGTTAAGCCTGGAATAGTTTTGTTGATGCTGTTTGGTGAAGCTTTAATTTTGGAAGAAGATAAAAACATCACAGAAAAAATACTGATACAAATGAGACTCCTATTGGAATTTTATTTAAACAACATTAATTTTTACACAAATACAACTATAATTTTATGGTTTTCTGAACAAAAAAAAATCTGTTATATACATAGGCTTTTATATATTATTTAAAGCAGGTGTATAATGGACTTGATGGTAAAGGTGGAACCATTAATGGCAACTACAAGAAATGGTTTCCATAACAATCATATTCAATTGACTAGAAAACAAAATAGTAGTTTTGTTTAATAATGTTAGTTGCTGTTTCAAGGACCAACAAAACTGAAATGCACTTCCATAAATATTACTATACATTGCACAGAGAATATACACATAAGAGTAAATTATACACATCTCTCTCATTTGGCACATCTTTTAAAAGGTTATGAGAAGTGTTCCAAACTTTACAAAATACAACTGCTTATAATATAATTAATTATTTATGGTAGTAGAATGCTACTTTTGCTTTCTATCTGTCTGATTTGTGCAGTACTTTATTCAGTGTGGCACATAGTGTCATCATTTTTATACAAATTACATGATACTATTACTGGCATTCATTTTAAGAAGAAAAACCTACTGCTAAACAGTAAGTTATAACAGTTGCTACCAGCACTTTTAGAGATTAGTGCACTACGATTATCAAAGATAGAAATACTATAGAGATGTGCTGAAATCTTCTGTCAATATTAGGTACTGGAATTGTTCATAGGGTCACACAGAAGTTGTTTAACTGAAATAATCCATAACTATTGAATCAAATGTTGGCTGATTAGAATCATCAGCAATTATTGTAGTAATTTCAAATTTATCATTTCCTCGGCTCCAGTCCCTCAGTGGTAAGTTTAAGGACTTACAACACTAACATTTAGGGTTTGATTCCCTATAGTTGGCAGTGTGCAGATAGCCCATTCTGTAGCTTTGCACTAGGAAAACAACAAAATCCTTAGTTTAGATTAGAACCAAAGACCTACACCAGAAACCAACTCAAATTACCACACTGTCATGTCACAAGTCAGCCTTCTAAAGCCATAAGTAGCTGTTAAAAAAAACGAGTACCTGTTATGTCAGTGGTTAATCATCTGAAATCACAAGTGACTGTTATACTAGAAAACAGTGGACTGGAATCATGAGTGACTGTGATACTGTAGAATAATTGACTAGAATCATGAGTGACCAATACTAGAAAATAATGGACTAGAATCATGAGTGTAATAATGAAAAAGTAGACTGGAATCATGAGTGACTGTGATAGTGTAAAATAATTGACTAGAGTCATGAGTTACCAATACTGGGGAATAATGGGCTAGAATCATGAGTGTAATAATGGAAAAAGTAGACTGGAATCATGAGTGACTGTGATAGTGTAAAATAATTGACTAGAGTCATGAGTGACCAATACCGGAGAATAATGGACTAGAATCATGAGTGTAATAATGGAAAAAGTACACTGGAATCATGAGTGACTGTGATAGTGTAAAATAATTGACTAGAGTCATGAGTGACCAATACCAGAGAATAATGGACTAGAATCATGAGTGTAATAATGGAAAAAGTAGACTGGAATCATAAGTGACTGTGATACTGTAGAATAATTGACTAGAATCATGAGTGACCAATACTGGAGAATAATGGGCTAGAATCATGAGTGACTGTAATAATGGAAAAAGTGACTTGGAATCATGAGTGACTGTGATACTGAGAATATTGACTAGAATCATGAGTGACTGTAATAATGGAAAAAGTAGACTGGAATCATGAGTGACTGTAATACTGGAGAACAATGAACTAGAATCATGAGTGACTGTGATCCTGGAGAATAATTGACTAGAACATGGGTGACTGTGGTATTGGAGAACAGTGGACTGGAATCATTAGTGACTGTGATCCTGGAGAATAATTGACTAGAACATGGGTGACTGTGGTATTGGAGAACAGAGGACTGGAATCATGAGTGACTGTGATACTAGAGAATAGTGGACTAGAATCATGAGTGACTGTGATACTGGAGAATAGTGAACTGGAATCATGAGTGACTTTGATGCTGGAGAATAGTGAACTGGAATCACGAGTGACTGTGATACTGGAGAATAGTGGACTGAAATCATGAGTGACTGTGATACTGTAGAATAGTGAACTGGAATCATGAGTGACTTTGATGCTGGAGAATAGTGAACTGGAATCACGAGTGACTGTGATACTGGAGAATAGTGGACTGAAATCATGAGTGACTGTGATACTGTAGAATAGTGAACTGGAATCATGAGTGACTTTGATGCTGGAGAATAGTGGACTGGAATCATGAGTGACTGTGATACTGGAGAATAGTGGACTGAAATCATGAGTGACTGTGATACTGGAGAATAGTGGACTGGAATCATGAGTGACTGTGATACTGGAGAATAGTGGACTGAAATCATGAGTGACTGTGATACTGTAGAATAGTGAACTGGAATCATGAGTGACTGTGATACTGTAGAATAGTGAACTGGAATCATGAGTGACTTTGATGCTGGAGAATAGTGAACTGGAATCATGAGTGACTGTGATACTGGAGAATAGTGGACTGGAATCATGAGTGACTGTGATACTGTAGAATAGTGGACTGAAATCATGAGTGACTGTGATACTGTAGAATAGTGGACAGGAATCCTCATGATTCTAAATGACTATTCTCCAGCATCAAAGTCACTCATGATTCTAAATGACTATTCTCCAGCATCAAAGTCACTCATTGACTTTTAAACTAGAGAGAATCATGAGCCTTTGTTCTAAGTTCCACTTTTTCTTGGTTGATTTATATAGCAGTTAATACCCTAATGAAAGCCTTGTTAGAGATGGTGTGCATACATGGTGTTTTTCATTACATAAAATAGCAATATTGCAACAGTAAAAGCTGTGTACTTGGTGTCTTTCATGTTTCAAAAAAACAAATTATATGAATATTTAATATAACTCTAACCCACTGTTGTCACCATCTGAATCTGATATATTTTATATTATGTCATCAGTTTTACTTTAAGATTAGATTTTGTTTTCTCCTCTCCAATTTTTTGTTAAAATGTTGGTAGCTAGTGACTTTCACATCTCTCTGATATGATCTTTAACAGTTGATCAAATTTGGAACACCTCTCATTTGCTCCAACCATTGCCCCTTTAGTGCCCCACAAAAATCTCAAATGAAACTCTGTTTTGAACATGTCTAATAACTGTTTATCATATTTGACATTTTCAAGGACAATTTCACTATTTCTCTTAAAGGTGGAATTTTGTTGAATATAGGTCCTTCCCATTTCAAGATGGGTGAACAGTAGCTGTAGTCCATAATCAGCAGCTTTTTGTTCCCATGGGAGCCCCAAAGTGAGAGGTTTCTCTGCTTCCTTGCTGTCTGTATTGGGTTTCTCCTCAACTGGTTGTATTTCCTGCTTCACATTCAGGTCCTTGTGATGTTGGAGTATAGTGATTAAGGACACAAGATAGGGGATACACGTGTTAGGGGCTAGGGGATTAGAACACTCTTCCATTGATGTTAATGTTGGCCTCAGTTTGCTTTCATACGTTAAAGCATTTTCTGTAAAATTAGCACGCAGAGCAAACCAAGTGGATCGTAGACGAGTTATCTAGTGAGAAAAAACAAAAACCAATAATATTTTGGAGAAGCACATGGCATAGGAATCATAACACTATAATACACTTTCAATTCAACATACATAGTATTTTGAAAGAAGTTAATTAAATTTATTCACAAGTAGAGAACTCAACCAAAATGACTTTACACTTTTGCTATGATTTCCTAATGTACTGTGAATATAGTTACAATTAATATCCCAGGATATGTTGGTAAAAATGGGATAATTTCTTTGCTATAAAAAGTTAGGTAATAACTGAATTAAATTATCTCTTTCATAATGTCCACTATATCTGACACCATAAAAACTAGCAAAAAAGTTAAAAAAATAAACACTAATGATAATACATGTCCATCACATCCACTACATTTAATACCATCAACACAAATTAATAACACATATCCATCACATCCACTACATTTAATACCATTAACACAAATTAATAACACATATCCATCACATCCACTACATTTAATACCATCAACACTATTGATAATACATATCCATCAAATCCACTACATTTAATACCATAAACATTAATAATAATACATATCCATTACATCCATTATATTTAATATCATAAACATTAATGATAATACATATCCATCACATCCATTACATTTAATACCATCAACACTATTGATAATACATATCCATCACATCCATTACATTTAATACCATAAACATTAATAATAATACATATCCATCACATCCATTACATTTAATACCATCAACACTATTGATAATACATATCCATCAAATCCACTACATTTAATACCATAAACATTAATGACAATACATATCCATCACATCCATTACATTTAATACCATAAACATTAATGACAATACATATCCATCACATCCACTTACATTTAATACCATAAACATTAATGACAATACATATCCATCACATCCATTATATTTAATACCATCAACACAAATTAATAACACATATCCATCACATCGACTACATTTAATACCATCAACAATATTGATAATACATGCCCATCATATCCACTACATTTAATACCATCAACACAAATTAATAATACATATCCATCACATCCATTACATTTAATACCATAAACATTAATGACAATACATATCCATCACATCCACTACATTTAATACCATAAACATTAATGACAATACATATCCATCACATCCATTATATTTAATACCATC